CTTGAATTCACTTTGTAGCCCAGGCTGGTCTCGAACTCACAGCGATCCTCCTGCCTCAGCCTTCCGAGTGCTGGGATGACAGGCGTGAGCCACCACGCCTGGCTGTGTGTGTGTGTGTGTGTGTGTGTATATATATATTTGGTATTGGGAATTGAACTCATGACCTTGTGCTTCCCAGGCAAATGCTGTGCCGCTGAGCTAAATCCCCAGCCCCTTTGGCTGTGTATATTTTTAAATCAGATTTTATTGGTACATTTTAGAGATGCATGACCATTCATCACAGAGTTTCACCTGTGCACGATATAATAATGTTTTTTCCTTTTCCCCTCCCCTCCCTTTAATCCTCCTCCTTTCCCCATTTATAAAGCTTTGTTTCCATGTTTTGCTCCTTTTCTCATTTCTCCCTGCTTTCCTTTCCCCTGGTACATAGTTCAGTGTGTCTTTTATAGCCTTTGTCGCCCTCCTAATTAAAAGGTGCAGGCAGGCCTCGGCGGTGCAGCCTGTAGTCTCTTGTATTGTAATAAGCTCTCCAAGGGTTTTATTTTACACTTAAATGTGGAGTTATCAGGAATCTATTTCTGGATATGGCTTAAGATAAGAGTCCTGTTATTTTTTTTCAGAATGTTAATCAGTTAGTGTAGCATCAAATTTTTTTTTGTTGTTGTTGTTGGTCTTTTTGAGACAGGGTCTCCCTCTCGCTATGCAGTTCAGGCTGGCCTTGAGCTCACTTTGTAGCCCAGGCTGGTCTTGAACTCCCAACGATCCTCCTGCCTCAGCCTCCCGAGTGCTGGGATTACAGGTGTGCACAACCACACCTGGCTCAAATTATTAAATAATACATCCTTTTCCTGTGTAGTTGAAGGGCCCTGGCAACTTCCTTTTTTTTTTTTTTGAGACTGGTCTCACTGTGTAGTGCAGGCTGGCCTTAAATTCACTAGGTAGCCCAGGCTGGCCTCAAATTCACAGCAATCCTCCTGCCTCAGCTTCCTGAATGCTGAGATTACAGACATGTACCATATTAGTACATTTTAGATATATATAATAACTATCATAGGGATTTAGTACCTGTACATAGTATGTCTTCTTTTTCTTCCATTCCCTTCCCCTCCCCTTACCTCTTCTTCCCCCCTTATTTGCAGGAGCTTTATTTCTATTTTTTCCTTTTATTCTTTTTTTTCTTATTCTTTTCTCCCCACCCCTTGTTCCTCTTGTATTTGAACCTTTTCTTCCCATTCCCCAGTTGCTGTTATACATTTTGCTCCATATTTACACTTTTGGTTTCTCATACCAGAGAACCGGTGCAGTATTTACTCATGTGTGTCTAATTTATTTCACAAGAGTCTGGCCTCAGGGTGCATCCACTTAGCTAGGAATGTCTCAAGCTTGTCCTTCCTTAGGTCTGAGTAGCACTCCATTGTATGAAAAACCCACAGCTTCTTTATCATTCCTCAGTGGATGGGCATTTTGGGTTGTTTCCAAGATCTAGCTATAAACATGGGTGTGCGTATCTCGCTGTGGTGTGATGCTTTTAATTCTTTCAGGAAGATACCAAGAAGGAAAATAGCTGGGTCAGATGGAACCTCTAGTTTTATTTATTTTTTTGTTTAGTTTTAGTTTTCTTGAGGACTCGCCACACTGATTTCCACACAGTGGTTGCACCGTTCTACACTCCCACGAACAGTAGAGAGGGTTCCTTTCTCCCCATCGCCCCTCCAGCATTTGTTATTGGTTGATTTTTCAATGATAGCCATTCTTTCAGGGGTGAGATAGGATCTCAGTGTTGTTTTAATTTACATCTCTCGAATGACCAGTGATGTTGAA